GCCGGCCAGGCTCGGTGGCTCAGCCTGTAATCCCAGCAGTTTGAGAGGCTGAGGCATGTATGTTGCCTGAGTTCGCGAGTTTGAGACCAGCCCGGGCAACTTGACAAGACTTCGTCTGTACAATAAATCAAAAATTAGCCCAGGTGTGCCTGTAGGTCTGGTCACTTGAAAGGCTAAGGCAGAAGGATTGCCGGAGCCCAGCAGGTGGACGCTGGGGTGGCCATGAGTGTGCCACTGCACTCCAGCCTCAGTGACAGAGTGAGACTTCAACTCAAAAAAAAAAGAGAGAGAGAGATGTCTGCCATAATCAGAAGTGCCTAGACGCTGATGATAACCACTTTGAGCACCTTTGTAACTGCAGAAGTCAAACGTGACTTGTATCCATCTCACTGAGTATTATAATTTTAGTACAGATTTTTTTTCTTTCTTAAAATATCTAAGTTGGGCTCGGTGGCTCAGCCTGTAATCCCCCCCACACCTCAGAAGGCTAGGGTGAGTGGATTGCCTGAGCCTTCGGGTTCGGGACCCGCCTGGGGAACTTGGTGAGATCTCGTCTCTACAATAAATCAAAAATCAGCCGGGCGTGGTAGCGTGTGCTTGTAACTCCGGCTACTCGAAAGGCTGAGGCGGAAGGATTGCCGGAGCCCAGCAGTCGAGGCTGCGGTGGCCAAGAGCAGCCACTGCACTCCAGTCTGGGCGACAGAGTGAGACTCCAACTCAAAAAAAAAAAAAAAGTCTATACATTTTTTTTTGGCACCCTATGTTTGTTGCTAGCACATGTAAATCTACTGTATTCAGATGGCTACGTGGTATTCCATTATATGAATGTGCCAAAATGTATAAACCAGTTCTGTGGTTCTCATTGTTTGATTGATTCTTCTTTTTACGATTACAAATAATACTGTAGTGACTATCCTTGAACCCATATCTTTGGATATCTATGCAACCATTTTTATAGACTTCTAGAAATGGAATTGCTGGGTCAAACTATTCGCCCATTTACATTTCTGATGGATAGCATCAAATTGTCCTCTGTGGCCAGGTGCAGTAGCTCAGCCTATAATCCCAGCACTTTGGGAGGCTGAGGCAAGAGGATTGTCTGAGCCCCAGGGTACGAGACCTGCCTGGGTAACTTGGTGAGACATCATTTCTACATTAAATCACAAGAAAACTAGCCGGGCACGGTGGTGTGCGTGTGTCTGTAGTTCCAGCTACTTGGAAGGCTGAGGCACAAGGATCACCTAAACCCAGCAGGTTGAGGCTGCAGTGGCCATGAGTGTGCCACTGCACTCCAGCCTGGGTGACAAAGAGTGAGACTGCAACTCAAAAGAAACAAAGTTGTCCTCTAAACTCTCTAAAAACCAGTTTCCATGGCAGTTGATTCTCATGTCACTCTCTTGTCCCCGCAGGATGAATCAGGCACCAACAGTGGGCTTTGAGCAGGATGTTGGCAGCCGAACCACCCACCATTTCATGTACCCTGAGAGTGCTAAGAACCTGCCCGCCAATGTCAGCTTTGTGTTGGTGCCCTTCAAGGCCCTGGACCTTCTGTGGATCGCCAGCGCCCTGTCCACCGGGCAGATCCGATTGTGAGCCTCTTCGTGGCTGGGGTAGAATATGGATGACAGGACTACCTTGGGAGGAGTCTTTACTGGGGCCAAGTTGTAGAATTCCTTTAATTGGACATTCTGACCAAGAGAGAGGATGAGGAGGAGGGAGGGTCCCAAATGGTGGGTTAGCTGAGGGCACACACAGCTTGTTCTGTTACATTCTGCATGGTGACACCCAGCACACTGATGGCAGAAAAGTGAGGGGGGGGGCCTTCTGGTTCTGATCTCTACAGAAAGTAGCTCTTAACTCGGGAGCTCTGCCCTGTGAGCACTTTCTTTGGGGGCAGTTGTCCCATCACAGCCAGGAACAATGGGAAATACAATTCATTAAGCTTTTTTGTTTGTTTGTTTTAACAGCTTTACCAAGACATAATTCACAGCCAGGCACGGTGGCTCATGCCTGTAATCCCAGCACTTTGGGAAGCTGAGGCAGGAGGATTGCTTGAGACCAGGAGTTGGAGACCAGCTTAGCAACATAGCAAGACCCCATCTCTACAAAAAAAAAAAAAAAAAAAATCTAGCTGGGTATGGTGACACACACCTGTAGTCCCAGCTACTCAGGAGAAGGTTGAGGCTGTGGTGAGCTGTGATCATGCCACTGCACTCCAGCCTTGGTGACAGAATGAGACCCTGACTCAAAAAAAAAAACAAACAACCCTATTTTATCCTGAGTGACATGGGGAGCCATTGAAGGCTACTGAACAAAAGCACTGCAGTGAACATACTGTGGGAGAACAGCCTGGAAGCTGATCAGTCTGAAAGTTGTGAGGCTATCATTCAGGCAGGAGAGGAGAGCCACAGCTAGGTCCCATGGGACCATCTGAAATATTCTCTTTCTGTCTGCTTACAGCACCTATGCCCCAGTGAAGTCCTTCCTTCGAGTGGACAAAGAAAAGGTAAGCTCCTCACCTCCTCCCCACCCCAGTGGAAACAGTGCTTGCCCGACCTGTGTGCCTGTTGCTATGGCTCAGGGTTGCCCCAGTTTCCTTCTAGAACCTTCAGAGTCCCTTTCTGCCAGGATGCCTGACCCCAGCAGAGGCTATAGGAACCAGAGGGACATGGACACACTGGTCCGCTGATCAGCACAGGGGAACTGGCAGAAGCTGTCCTGAACTCCAAGCTCTAAAACCCCTCATGTGCCTGTTACCACCTCCTTTCTCAGGTCCAGATCTACAACCCAGCCTTCTTCAAGTACATCCATGACAGGTGGACAGAGCATCATGGACGGTACCCTTCCACAGGAATGCTGGTGCTCTTCTTTGCCCTCCACGTGTGTGATGAGGTGGGTAGGCCCTAGTCTGGGGGGAGGCAGTGTAGTGGGGCTCATGGAACAGACAATGTAGCCCTTCTCAGGTCTTAGCGGTACCTTCAGAGGAATATGTTTTTGTAGGCAGAAACCAGATGGCTTTGATTTCCCCCATCTCTAGGCTGTTTAGATCTGCATTTCCCAAACTTTATTACTTTAATGATTTTACCAAATTTGAAATCACTTCATTAAAAAGTTACAAGTGTTAGCCGGGCTCCGTGGCTCAGTCTGTAATCCCGCACCTTTGGGATTACAGCCTTTGGGAGGCTGAGGTGAGTGGATTGCCTGAGCCCGCAGGTTCGAGACCAGCCCGAGCAACTTGGTGAGACCTCATCTCTACAATAAATAACAAACTCAGGTGGGCATGGTAGCGTGTGCCTGTAGTTTCAGCTACTTGAAAGGCTGAGGTGGAAGGATCTCCAGAGCCCAGCAGGTTGAGGCTGCAGTAGCCAAGAGGTGTGCCACTGCCCTCCAGCCTGGGTGACAGAGTGAGACTCCAACTCAAAAAATAATAATAAAAAATAAAAATAAATTCTTTAAAACAAAAACAAAAACAATTAGCCAGGCATGGTAGCGCGTGCCTGTAGTTCCAGCTACTTGGAAGGCCGAGGTGGAAGGATCGCCGGAG